TCAGGCACCTGGTCGCCAGTACACATAGTCAGGCACCTAATCACCACTACACATTGTCAGGCACCTAATCGTCAGTACACATAGTCAGACAACTAGTCGCCAGTACACATTGTGAGGCACCTTATCGCCAGTACACATAGTCAGGCAACTAATCGCCGGTACATATTGTCAGGCACCTAATCGCCACTACACATTGTCAGGCAACTAATCGCCACTACATATAGTCAGGCACCTAATCGCCAGTACACATTGTCAGGCAACTAATCGCCACTACATATAGTCAGGCACCTAATCGCCAGTACACATTGTGAGGCAACTAATCGCCACTACATATAATCAGGCACCTAATCGCCAATACACATAGTCAGGCACCTAGTCGCCAGTACACATTGTCAGGCAACTAATCGCCAGTACACATTGTCAGGCACCTAATCGCCAGTACACATAGTCAGACAACTAATCGCCAGTACACATTGTCAGGCACCTGGTCGCCAGTACATTGTCAGGCAACTAATCGCCAGTACACATTGTCAGGCACCTAATCGCCAGTACACATAGTCAGACAACTAATCGCCAGTACACATTGTCAGGCAACTAATCGCCAGTACACATTGTCAGGCAACTAATCGCCAATACATTGTCAGGCACCTAATCGCCGGTACAGATAGTCAGGCAACTAATCGCCAGTACACATTGTCAGGCACCTAATCGCCACTACACATTGTGAGGCAACTAATCGCCAGTACATATTGTCAGGCACCTAATCGCCACTACACATTGTCAGGCAACTAATCGCCACTACATATAGTTAGGCACCTAATCGCCAGTACACATAGTCAGGCACCTAATCGCCAGTACACATAATCAGGCACCTAATCGCCAGTACACATAGTCAGGCACCTAGTCGCCAGTACACATGGTCAGGCAACTAATCGCCACTACACATTGTCAGGCACCTAATCGTCAGTACACATTGTCAGGCAACTAATCGCCAGTACACATTGTCAGGCAACTAATCGCCACTACATATAGTCAGGCACCTAATCGCCAGTACACATTGTCAGGCACCTAATTGCCAATACACATAATCAGGCACCTAATCGCCAGTACACATAGTCAGGCACCTAGTTGCCAGTACACATTGTCAGGCAACTAATCGCCAGTACACATTGTCAGGCACCTAATCGTCGTCACATAGTACAACTAATCGCCGGTACACCTTGTGAGGAGGCACCTTATCGCCAGTACACATAGTCAGGCACATAATCGCCGGTACATATTGTCAGGCACCTAATCGCCAGTACACATTGTCAGGCAACTAATCGCCACTACATATAGTCAGGCACCTAATCGCCAGTACACATTGTCAGGCAACTAATCGCCACTACATATAGTCAGGCACCTAATCGCCAGTACACATTGTCAGGCAACTAATCGCCACTACATATAATCAGGCACCTAATCGCCAATACACATAGTCAGGCACCTAGTCGCCAGTACACATTGTCAGGCAACTAATCGCCAGTACACATTGTCAGGCACCTAATCGCCAGTACACATAGTCAGACAACTAATCGCCAGTACACATTGTCAGGCACCTAATCGCCAGTACACATTGTCAGGGCAACTAATCGCCAGTACACATTGTCAGGGCACCTAATCGCCAGTACACATAGTCAGACAACTAATCGCCAGTACACATTGTCAGGCAACTAATCGCCAGTACACATTGTCAGGCAACTAATCGCCAATACACATTGTCCGGGCACCTAATCGCCGGTACAGATAGTCAGGCAACTAATCGCCAGTACACATTGTCAGGCACCTAATCGCCACTACACATTGTGAGGCAACTAATCGCCAGTACATATTGTCGGGCACCTAATCGCCACTACATTGTCAGGCAGCTAATCGCCACTACATATAGTTAGGCACCTAATCGCCAGTACACATAGTCAGGCACCTAATCGCCAGTACACATAATCAGGCACCTAATCGCCAGTACACATAGTCAGGCACCTAGTCGCCAGTACACATGGTCAGGCAACTAATCGCCACTACACATTGTCGGGCACCTAATCGTCAGTACACATTGTCAGGGCAACTAATCGCCAGTACACATTGTCAGGCAACTAATCGCCAATACACATTGTCAGGCAACTAATCGCCAGTACACATTGTCAGGCACCTAATCGCCGGTACACATTGTCAGGCAACTAATCGCCAGTACACATTTTTAGGCAACTAATCGCCAATACACATTGTCAGGAACCTAATCGCCAGTACACATAGTCAGGCACCTAATCGCCACTACACGTAGCCAGGCACCTAATCGCCAGTACACATAGTCAGACAACTAATCGCCAGTGCACATTGTCAGGCACCTAGTCGCCAGTACACATAGTCAGGCAACTAATCGCCAATATACATAGTCAGGCACCTAATCGCCAGTACACATAGTCAGGCACCTAATCGCCAATACACATTGTCAGGCACCTAATCGCCAATACACATAGTCAGGCACCTAATCGCCAGTACACATAGTCAGGCAACTAATCGCCAATACACATAGTCAGGCACCTAATCGCCAATACACATAGTCAGGCAACTAATCGCCAATACACATAGTCAGGCACCTAATCGCCAGTACACACATAGTCAACTAATCGCTAATCACATAGTCAGGTACCTACATACACAGTCAGGCAACTAATCGCCAGTACACGTTGTCAGGCACCTAATCGCCGGTACACATAGTCAGGCAACTGATCGCCAGTACACATTGTCAGGCACCTAATCGCCGGTACACATTGTCAGGCACCTTATCGCCAGTACACATAGTCAGGCACCTAATTGCCAGTACACATAGTCAGCCCTCTAACCCTCTCATCTATGGCGGCTTCCTCAAGATTGAAAGTCGTACAATTGGTACCCTAGGCCTTGGAACGTGTGCACCCCTCTGATAAGTGAAAATTATCACGACTCCCACGACCGAAAGCTATCAATACACCCTGTGTACCCTTCTGTCCACTCAACTCAACAAAAGTACTAGAATCTGTCCTTCACTGAGACAGTGTAATACCAACTATAACAAGTGTTACAATATATGTGACGTTACGTTATCAGTGACAATACACCGAGCAGTGTTGTTCTTGCTGGGTACATGGCACTGCATATCCATCTCATGTAGTTATCCGCCATGTCGGTTGCTATGACGCCACGTGTACGCACACAACTGGTGTAGCGTGTGGTTCCGCGAGCTGACATTCTGCCAAACACTTGAGTCGGGCTATATTAAAACCGTTTACCCGGCGGCGAGGCAGTCGTATTCCTAGCTGCGTGCTGCGAAGTTCACTAGAACAATGGAGATCTCAACACTTGTTTTCCTGATTTTTGTTGTCCTAGGTGTCAGCGACGTACAGGCTGCTCGCAGTGGTCCAACCTTGGCTGATCGAGTGGCAGTGATAGAGGAGGAGATGAAAACATGGAAATTTGTAACTGTTCAAGCTAAGAACAAGAGGAGTACCTTGGCTAGACGGATGAGACTGGTGTTAGCTGAAGTTGGCAGCCTGAAATACAGTTTACAAAACACCAAGACGCAACTGAAAGTAATAACTCAAGAGCTGAAACATGTTCGACAGGAAAAAGACACGTACAGCGAGAGTGTTGGAAAACTACGCGACGAGATGAATAAGACGGCAGCTGATCTGCGTGATGCCAGGATGCTGATATCTGAACTGAATCAAACCAAACAAGATCTTTTTTGCCACAAAACAACAGATCACAGGTCTTACCAAGGACTTGATGACACTGAATTTGAGTTGTTGTGTGGTGAGGGATGAGGCTAAAGAGACTGATGGTAATGAGAGTTCGATGACAACATCGTCATTGTCGCAGGTGTCACTCACGACATCGACCACGACGTATCCTGGAACTACTGCAGGTGAGACTTTTTACAGAGATTATTCGCTTGGTTACAATTCTATCTTGATATTCCAACCCAAAGATATACGTTTAACGTTATCATTTCATTAAAATTTAGCCAATTGTTTTACAGTCATCCTGCATACGTACTAAGCATGTGTCTTCTGCTTTTGAAACAATATGTGGGAGGTAAACTTTCTTTGTTTTTAGTGGAAACCTTTCATTTCCGAACTACCCATATTTCAAACGCTTATTGACCAATAAAATTTGTGATCACTAAGGCTATGTGATTACAGCACATACAAACATAGGGTTCACATGGCATGTCAGCATAGGGTTCACATGACATGTCAGCATAGGGTTCACATGACATGTCAGCATAGGGTTCACATGACATGTCAGCATAGGGTTCACATGACATGTCACCATAGGGTTCACATGACATGTCAGCATAGGGTTCACATGACATGTCAGCATAGGGTTCACATGACATGTCAGCATAGGGTTCACATGACATGTCAGCATAGGGTTCACATGGCATGTCAGCATAGGGTTCACATGACATGTCAGCATAGGGTTCACATGACATGTCAGCATAGGGTTCACATGACATGTCAGCATAGGGTTCACATGACATGTCAGCATAGGGTTCACATGACATGTCAGCATAGGGTTCACATGACATGTCAGCATAGGGTTTATTGCGCATGTAAACATGATGATGATTGGACATCTATTTTATTGGATATGTGTTCATATAGGGCATTGGGTATTGTTGATACGTACAACGTAGATTTTATTGTGCATTTGAACATAAGGTTAACAGGACATGCCAGTGGTGCATGTCGTGCACAGAAGTTTATTTGACTGCAAATTGGGTATTTCGTATATAAATGACTCCACTAGTCATATTTTATACACATTACAGACTGCCTGATTACAGAGTGTCACATACTAGAGTAAATACAACCCCGAAAATTAAAAGTTAATATAATCTATTAACTAAATATGCCCTGATCACAATGATTCATATATGCTGTCACTCCTAACTTCATTCTCACAATCATCAAACACACTCACTCTCTTTCCCCTACTTAGCCAAGTACGTACCTCATACCTCACCATTCACATACACTCACATCAACGCTCCAAATGTAACACCATTACAAAGGCCTTTCTAATGAAACACACAACAGTTCATATGATATGATATATACATTAAATGGAATATACAGACCAACTACATCCAACGCATACTTTACTTTATCCTGTGCAGTTTACACAGTAGGCGGCCTGCCGGTATGGTCTATGTTGATCGGTTGGGACAGCCTTAATGGATGGGGCATGTCACTCTCCCTAAACACTCAGATGTCATAAGTCCAGATTCACGGGCGGCATGTCACTCTCCCTGAATACTCGGATGTCAAAAGTCCCGATTCACGGGAGGCATGTCACTCTCCCAAAACACTCAGATGTCAAAAGTCCAGATTCACGGGCGGCATGTCACTCTCCCAAAACACTCAGATGTCAAAAGTCCAGATTCACGGGCGGCATGTCACTCTCCCAAAACACTCAGATGTCAAAAGTCCAGATTCACGGGCGGCATGTCACTCTCCCAAAACACTCAGATGTCAAAAGTCCAGATTCGCAGACGGCATGTCAGGGTCGATCCCTCTCGATCGGCGGAAAGCCTTACGGAGTATATCTATCCCGGACACTGGATATAGAAAGCACACCATGTACTTGGTGACTTTACACATACACTATATGGACACATATACTTAACACACACAGGATCTGTCTACAGGGCTGTTTTACCGACACTTAATGCACAACACTATCACATTACACGTGATCTGCTGACTGATTATTATATTACGTCAGTTTACCATCTTAGTTACATTATAAAAAAAGGTTTCCATATACATTACAATTCCATCATATTATCAACCTCACTAATTATAAGAAATATATTGAATCAGAGATACGGTGATATTATAAGGTGAAATGACATTAAATCTCAATGTATTTGGTGGTTGCATGAAAGCGATAGTAGATAATCACTCTTGATACATGACAAGTGCTTGTAACAGCCGCCCTCCATCTCTCGAATCCACAAATCTTGTGAACGCACCCAAGGTCTTGGTGGCTTGGAGAAGGGTTGGCAAGGGTGGGGCTGGTTCGTCACTATCAAAGTCACTGTCATTGACTCCTAATCCGTATTTCTCAGTCCGCAATTTAGAAACATCTCAACAATCACATGCTAGTCACGTGATTGCACAATCCCCTCATTGCTTCTTAGTATGTTTTGATTGAAAACTATAATCCGTTATCAGTAGTATTTAGTCGTAACAGTGAGTACTTCCTAATTAATTCCTTCTTAATTAAACCTAATTAATCAAGTGACCTTCAACTCAAATTGCCCTAATTAGTTTACACTACCGTATCTCTTTGATTCATGCCGCAGCGTGTGTAAACATGTAGACAGAACTTCAGTTCAGAGTGATACTTGCCCATGAAAGGTAGGTGAATACCGAGTTTCTTATTAATATCGAGTTAACAGGGTAATTTTGGTTGTCGGGACCATGAAATTATATCTAGATATCTGAAATATCGAGACATCCGTAGCAAGTTAAAAGAGCTTGAATAATGATAAAATATGAAGGATTTTGCCGGGACCCAGATGTTATATCGACACATCCGAGATATCGGGTTATCAGTGTTCGACACAAAGGTTCTCGACTGTATAAACAATTCATTCACATATTCTAACTACAACATAACATAATATCATATAGCTCACACCAGTTGAATATCCAGGAAACCCAGCCAACCTGACACACACACGCAATTGGTTGCAATCTCCCAACTTTCAAATCAGTCCTTATATAGCCCCAAACTATAATAAACGACTTGATTGACCCCCAACTTTCCAGATACATACACTGGTCTCCCATACTCCCATATGGTATTCTGAATAGGCGAACAACTTATGGACACTGTATCTGAACATAAATATCTCGGCATCTATTTCACACTTAGACTGAGTTGGGGAATACCTGTCTACACTTAGCACAACAGGCTCAGAAAAACACAGTTTGTCTTTCATTATAAGCTCAATGTAAGTACGTACACAGAATGATCGTAGCTATTTACATCTAAGCATCTGACGTCGAATGATATCTACATATGACGTGTTTTCAAAGGGGGCATATATATTTTTTAAAACAAATACAGTGTATTGGGAGTTTTGTGATACAAACAATCGGTGAATTAAGGAGGCGGTAACAGTTCCTCCCTTTCCCCCATCCCGAATAATATTTATTAATTAATATATACTAAAATAATTAACAAAACCTAACACAACAATTACTATAGAAATCACAAAAACGACTAAAAGTCCATAACTTAGGTTAGGGTTAGGGTTGGGGTAACGGAAGGAACTCTTTCCAGGGAAGCATCCGATATGCTTATAATACAATTGTCGTCCATGTCATGCCACAGGTAACACGAAATGTGTTCTAATATGCTGCTTTGATCTGATAAAACTGCAGGGCTAACATGGAACGATTACAAATATTTCCATACAAAGTTGTTAATCAGTCCAAGCAGTCGAGCGCCAAACGTTGCCATGCTCCTAACCAGACACGTCACAATGACGTCATAGCTGGCAGCTTTGCGGTCGTGGTGTCGCCAGTCAAGGCATTTCATAGCTAGATGAGTCGCTCGTGTTAGGACGTTATTGGTGGGTAAGTTCTCAGTTTCTACTTTTTAACTGATTTAGGAAATTTGATGAAATAGTGTAAATGTACATCGTACGTCTTCTGTAAAGCTGTATGAATGTTGTAGGAACCAAGTGCTTGCTTCACACAATGTTTACACCAGGCCTGTGTTTAGCTTGTCACCGGCGGGGGACGATGGAAGGTCTGGGTAAACATAACAACGCAGCGTTTCACCTGATAGACTTGTTATATTTGATCAAATAATGTGCTCTTTCTTAGCGTTATGCTTTGACTGATTGCATTTACCTCTGTCACGGAAGACTTTATGAGAATGTTTTATATCTTTCCGGTCAAATATATAATTTACACTGTATTTCATTTCTTTTTATTCTGCGTCAATGAATAGTTGCATTGCATTGAAATACACCCCGCTATATAGCACACGGTGAAACGTATCAGTTAAAATCGGTTTACAATGAACACCTGTAGAGTTGCTTTTTTAACAATGAAACCTTAAATGTGGAACACATGCATTTTTGCAACATTTAGAAAAAAGCAATAAATTATGGAAGGGCAAGTACGCTTTATTCTCTTCTAATATTGAAACAGACGGAGAATGTTAATCACTCGGACAGCGACATGTCTATCTTGACCACCACACACTTTCACGTGTTTGTACCCTTGTTGTTTATCAAAGCACATTGCTTCCATCGACAAGTACGGCTGTGTCAGCTGCAGTTTCCGCCTCAGATAGTAGTTGTGTGAGAATTGCACTGCCGCCATCGTTCGGTATGCTGACATTTTCTGCGCGCTGGACAAAGTTTGCCTGACACTTTGTGACTAAATTTAAACTGTGTTGCACAAACAGGAAGTCAAAAGGCGAAACCGCATTATCAGTGGTTCGTGTCGTTTGCTGTTGTTTCACTATGTAGTAACTATTTCATGCATTTTGTATCAATATGTGATGCTTAAATTGTATTTATGAATATTTCTTTCGTCAGATATCTGTGATTTTTTGTCCACAACGTTTCAAATTTTGTTTAGTTTCAAATGTGTGCCCAATGTGATGAGAGAGTGTTTCCTCCATTGAATACTAAACTTTAAATCTGCTTCACATTAGAATTTATGGAATTGCCTAAAATACCATGTACAAAAATAAACAGCTATAATGGGGACATCAAGGAAAGACATTTTTGAAATTCCAGTTACGGTTAATGAATTCAAACTAAAAAAAAAAAGGGGGTCATTCCAGAAAGAGGAATTATAATTAGGTATAAGTGCAGATGTTTTTGTTTGTTTATCTATTGTTTTCTTTCAGTGTAATAATGTAAATATGTTTATACTTAAAGTACCCGTAGAATTTGCTTGACACTAGCCTAACCCTAACCTAACCCTGAAGGCAAACAGATCCTTTAGTTACACTGTTCATGTTTATATTTCAAAACAGCATACCAATCTATTCAGTTACTACATTTCAACAAAGAGGAGCATCTCAGCTGCTGGGTCACAGTCAGTGCAAAGTTTATTACACTTACTGAATCAAACTGTAAAAATATATGTAGGAAATGTTCTTTTTCTCTCCTGCAGAGACACGGGGTCTTGATGAACAGGTATCTCAATCAAAGCAAACCATATATATTTAATACTTCTGCTATAACAGATGTATTTAGAATTTATCCACACATAATATTGAAAGGCAAAACATTGTGGAAAGCGAAAACTGAGGCCAGTAGTAATAACAATGCTTATGTGCTATGTATAGTTTTCTGAATATAATATTCCCAGTTTCAGCCTCGACTGGCCCGACCCAGAACAACACGGTTCCACCATCGCCAGTGACAACACAAGACTCTGATCTACAGGGTAGGTGGGAAAACCCAGCAGACAGGGACGTCAGTCCTTAATTCTCCGTCCATTCAACAGAGTGGAGTATATATACCCGTGGAGATTCTGACTTGAGGTCACAGGATTTCAAACTGCCACTTAAGGAAGGATTTCAAACTGTTAAAAATAATTAGGGAGTGTTACTCTTTTCCTGCATCGACATGCGGTCTCGATGGAGAATTATCTCAGTTAAATTGAATGATATATATTTAATACTTCTTTCATAAGATATGTATTTAGAATTTAATCATACATAACACTGAAAGGCGAAACATTATGTGGAAAGGCGAAAACTGAGCCAGCAGTAGAAATGCTTATGTGCTATGTATAGTTTTCTGAACAACATATTCCCTGTTTCAGCCTCGACCACCGACGTGAGTGATGATCTGACACCGAGCAAGACGGTTCCACCAGCGCCAGTGACGACACAAGACTCCCACGGTAGGTCGGAAAACCCAGCAGACACGAAGAATAGTGGTGTCGATCGACGTTCATGTTGTCGGTCACAGGATTCCATGAACCAGATAATTATGCTGAGGTCGCCACCAGACAGCTGGAATACTGCTGAGTGTGGCGTCAAACACCAACCAAAACACTGTGACATAAACCAACGTTATATCTTATTACCCAAAAACCAAACAACAGTTGTACTGACATTATCAACTTGTAAAGTTCAACAAACATCAACACTCTCCAGCCGAACACAAAATATTGCTACAGCTTCTGGGTCTAACAGAAAGTTCTGTATTAAACACACCATCGTTTATCCCAGAAACCACGTACACAACTATTGCCACAACTACTGGCTCTAACAGAAAGTTCTGTATTAAACACACCATCGTTTATCCCAGAAACCACAAGTTGACATTCCCGCCATGTTGTATTGTTGTCAGCCATGATGGAATTGTTTAAACGATGTAGCAATGTCCGAGTCACGTATCAACATGGTGAAAACATTGTAGATGTGTGGCACAGATGTCTGATGTTTACTTTGTGTTGCAGCGACTCCATCACCAGCAGCAGGCCGCCGCCTCTACTCCGCCAGCAAAGACGGTGACCTGGAGACAGTGAAGCGGATCCTGGCAGCGGGTCACGTGGACATCAACACGAGAGGATTCTACAGCCTGACACCGGTGATGGAGGCAGCATATAGAGGACACAGCGATGTGGTGGAGTTCCTGGTGGGTAGAGGGGCTGATGTGTCGCTGGTGAACAGTGACGGTAACAACGTCCTTCACTTGGCCTGTGGTGGTGGAGACCTGGAGACGGTGAAGCTGATCGTGTCCAGGAAGCTGGTGGACGTCAACAGTAGAGGATGGAACAGCATGACACCGGTGATGAGGGCAGCACGGTGGGGACGCAGTGATGTGGTGGAGTTCCTGGTGGGTAGAGGGGCTGATGTGTCGCTGGTGGACAGTACCAGTAACAACGTCCTTTACTACGCCTGTATTGGTGGAGACCTGGAGACGGTGAAGCTGATCGTGTCCTGGAACGTGCTGGACATCAACAGTAGAGGAGACTACAGCAGGACACCGGTGATGAAGGCAGCACGGAATGGACACAGCGATGTGGTGGAGTTCCTGGTGGGTAGAGGGGCTGATGTGTCGCTGGTGGACAGGTTCGGTGACAACGTACTTCACTCGGCCTGTATTGGTGGAGACCTGGAGACGGTGAAGCTGATCGTGTCACACAAAGTGGTGGACGTCAACGCCAGGAACAACAACGGGGAGACAGCGGTCTACCTGGCGAGACTCCTGGGACATCAGCGAGTGGTGGAGTACCTGGTGTCACGTGGTGGACACTGAAGTCGGTGTCGGTGTGGTAGGAGACGGGGCACATGCCGTTGCTGACACTGACGTGTTCACGATTTTCTTCCTGAATATAAATAAAACTTGATGAAAGTATTTTCAGACATTTTGTCATTTGTTGTGTTTGGAACCTCGCGTGATCAGGTAAGAAAATTGTGAAGTGAGTGTAAATATAAACGGTGAGTGATTGTACGTAAACTTCGCCCGTCTTAACATTATTCTGTGTTAATTTTGTTCTGAGAATATCGCGAATTGTGAAACCGACAACAACAAACTGTTTGTTTACATGTCGCTGCACTCAGCTGACATGGCGCCATTTGTACAGTGACAGTGACGTCACACTGCTGGTGACGTCACAGGTATACACTGAGGTGCCGGCCAAATAGGACAGACAGCGGCGCAATGCTGGCATCGTGCCAGACAACACAAACAGTGTTAGTCAAGTACCATGTGGTCGGTGTCGTTTAACAAAGGAAGAATGGACATGTGTAGCTGATTACTGCTGAGATTTAACCCTTTTGGTGCCACAGGGACATGCACCCCTTCTACAGTGACTAAACGCACGGTATACAAAATTAAACTGAAAACAATCATCACCCAAATCATCTCAGTTATATAAATCCCTGGATGCCAGAAAGACAAATATCTGCCCCAGTTCTCTGTTTCTTGATCTAACACACGGTTTTTATGTAAACCACAATTGCTGAAATGACCATTAAGAAATATGTACATCGTAAATCTGGCCATTTTTGACACATGACGATTTCGCCATTCGCGGCATCGTTTACTGTATGCTGTAAATGTAAATATCGGGTATTTACCCGTTGAACTGAATTTGAAAAATAACCAATTAGGGATCAGTGGGATGTTGTTTTGTCAAGTCGCCAATAGAATCTCGCCTATAACCTTGGGATAACCTATAAATCGTCTTGGGGGCAGGCAAACACAAACGCCGAAGTGAGTTTTCCGTTATATTTGATAGTGAGAGGGTGAGTAAGTGACTTAGCTTAGTTTTAAGCCGCTTTTAGCAATATTCCAGCAATATCACGACGGGGAACACCAGAAATGGGCTTCACACATTGTAGCCATGTGGGGAATCAAACCCGGGTCTTCGGCGTGACGAGCAAACACTTCAACCACTGGGCTACCCCACCGCCCCTATTTGACAGTGTTTACAAAATCCCGTTTCACGTAAGGTCTTCATGAAACACCAATTACCTCGCACATGTTTAACACTCATCTGCAGCACACACATCCCTGAGTTCTTCACATATTTAAAAAACAAATGACTGATGGCCTTTGTTACCTGTTCAAATAGTGTTGATATAATTAAACCCCTGAATACCGTTCAAATAGTGTTGATGATATTAACCCCCTGGATGCCGTTCAAATAGTGTTGATGATATTAACCCCCAGGATGCCGTTCAAATAGTGTTGATGATATTAACCCACTGGATGCCGTTCAAATAGTGTTGATGATATTAACCCCCTGGATACCGATCAAATAGTGTTGATGATATTAACCCCCAGGATGCCGTTCAAATAGTGTTGATGATATTAACCCCCCCGGATGCCGTTCAAATAGTGTTGATGATATTAACCCCCTGGATGCCGTTCAAATAGTGTTGATATTAACCCCATGGATGCCGTTCAAATAGTGTTGACGATATTAACCACCCGGATGCCGTTCAAATAGTGTTGATGATATTAACCCCCCGGATGCCGTTCAAATAGTGTTGATGATATTAACCCCCTGGATGCCGTTCAAATAGTGTTGATGATATTAACCCCCGGATGCCGTTCAAATAGTGTTGATGATATTAACCCCATGGATGCCGTTCAAATAGTGTTGATGATATTAACCCCTGGATGCCGTTCAAATAGTGTTGATGATATTAACCCCCGGATGCCGTTCAAATAGTGTTGATGATATTAACCCCATGGATGCCGTTCAAATAGTGTTGATGATATTAACCCCATGGATGCCGTTCAAATAGTGTTGATGATATTAACCACCGGATGCCGTTCAAATAGTGTTGATGATATTAACCCCGGATGCCGTTCAAATAGTGTTGATGATATTAACCCCGGATGCCGTTCAAATAGTGTTGATGATATTCACCCCGGATGCCGTTCAAATAGTGTTGATGATATTAACCCCGGATGCCGTTCAAATAGTGTTGATGATATTAACCCCCAGGATGCCGTTCAAATAGTGTTGATGATATTAACCCCCGGATGCCGTTCAAATAGTGTTGATGATATTAACCCCCGGATGCCGTTCAAATAGTGTTGATATTAACCCCATGGATGCCGTTCAAATAGTGTTGATGATATTAACCACCCGGATGCCGTTCAAATAGTGTTGATGATAATAACCCCCTGGATGCCGTTCAAATAGTGTTGATGATATTAACCCCCCGGATGCCGTTCAAATAGTGTTGATGATATTAACCACCCGGATGCCGTTCAAATAGTGTTGATGATATTAACCCCCGGATGCCGTTCAAATAGTGTTGATGATATTAACCCCATGGATGCCGTTCAAATAGTGTTGATGATATTAACCACCCGGATGCCGTTCAAATAGTGTTGATGATATTAACCCCCCCCGGATGCCGTTCAAATAGTGTTGATGATATTAACCCCGGATGCCGTTCAAATAGTGTTGATGATATTAACCCCGGATGCCGTTCAAATAGTGTTGATGATATTAACCCCAGGATGCCGTTCAAATAGTGTTGATGATATTAACCCCGGATGCCGTTCAAATAGTGTTGATGATATTAACCCCATGGATGCCGTTCAAATAGTGTTGATGATATTAACCCCGGATGCCGTTCAAATAGTGTTGATGATATTAACCCCATGGATGCCGTTCAAATAGTGTTGATGATATTAACCCCGGATGCCGTTCAAATAGTGTTGATGATATTAACCCCATGGATGCCGTTCAAATAGTGTTGATGATATTAACCCCCTGGATGCCGTTCAAATAGTGTTGATGATATTAACCCCTGGATGCCGTTCAAATAGTGTTGATGATATTAACCCCCCGGATGCCGTTCAAATAGTGTTGATGATATTAACCCCCATGGATGCCGTTCAAATAGTGTTGATGATATTAACCCCCCGGATGCCGTTCAAATAGTGTTGATGATATTAACCCCATGGATGCCGTTCAAATAGTGTTGATGATATTAACCCCTGGATGCCGTTCAAATAGTGTTGATGATATTAACCACCCGGATGCCGTTCAAATAGTGTTGATGATATTAACCACCCGGATGCCGTTCAAATAGTGTTGATGATATTAACCACTCGGATGCCGTTCAAATAGTGTTGATGATATTAACCCCCTGGATGCCGTTCAAATAGTGTTGATGATATTAACCCCATGGATGCCGTTCAAATAGTGTTGATGATATTAACCACCCGGATGCCGTTCAAATAGTGTTGATGATATTAACCACCCGGATGCCGTTCAAAAAGTGTTGATGATATTAACCACCCGGATGCCGTTCAAATAGTGTTGATGATATTAACCCCCCGGATGCCGTTCAAATAGTGTTGATGATATTAACCCCCCGGATGCCGTTCAAATAGTGTTGATGATATGAACCACTCGGATGCCGTTCAAATAGTGTTGATGATATTAACCCCCTGGATGCCGTTCAAATAGTGTTGATGATATTAACCCCCTGGATGCCGTTCAAATAGTGTTGATGATATTAACCCCCCGGATGCCGTTCAAATAGTGTTGATGATATTAACCACTCGGATGCCGTTCAAATAGTGTTGATGATATTTACCCCCAGGATGCCGTTCAAATAGTGTTGATGATATTAACCACCCGGATGCCGTTCAAATAGTGTTGATATTAACCCCATGGATGCCGTTCAAATAGTGTTGATGATATTAACCCCCCGGATGCCGTTCAAATAGTGTTGATGATATTAACCACCCGGATGCCGTTCAAATAGTGTTGATGATATTAACCACCCGGATGCCGTTCAAATAGTGTTGATGATATTAACCACTCGGATGCCGTTCAAATAGTGTTGATGATATTAACCCCCTGGATGCCGTTCAAATAGTGTTGATGATATTAACCCCTGGATGCCGTTCAAAAGTGTTGATGATATTAACCCCTGGATGCCGTTCAAATAGTGTTGATGATATTAACCCCCTGGATGCCATTCAAATAGTGTTGATGATATTAACCCCCCGGATGCCGTTCAAATAGTGTTGATGATATTAACCCCCTGGATGCCGTTCAAATAGTGTTGTTGATATTAACCCCCGGATGCCGTTCAAATAGTATTGATGATATTAACCCCCTGGATGCCATTCAAATAGTTTGAATGATATTAACCCCCTGGATGCCTTTTAAATACAAGTCACATCTCAAATGTAAAGATATTACAGAAAACATTACACCATGGTTTGTTTTATGTGTTTTTTGGCGACGACGGAGAAAGACTTGCTTCATTTAGAGCCTAAGCATTGCAAGGAGGGCAAGGCAGTAGGGAAAATAATGTGGTTCAGGGACTGTGAGACAGTCTAGGAACAGGCTGGCTTGTCAGATGGAGTTCCTGGGATTTCGTTGGAGATTTTGTTTTCAGCTTCAGCTATAAATCCTAATACATATTTGACTTAAACATATGGGCATTAATACTAACAGAAACATTTAGTGCAACAATATATGTTTTTTGTCATTTTTTCAATGGAATGAATCATAATTATGTTGTTATGGCTTTTAAGGAACAATTTCTCTCTTTTTAATTTAATAACAGTAGTCGGTCCTAAATTAACAAATTTGACATCGTAAATTGTTAACGTTTCACCAGGCATTTGTGGTTGAATAATTAATGAATTTCCTTGTTTCTAAACCAGCAATTTGGTCATAATTGAGACGAGATTGTTTCTAAATGATGTTAATGATATACAAATGTGGGCGGCTGTATGTTGTGTTACAGATTGACGTATATGGACTGGACGCCTTCTTGAATGTCGGCTGTTACGTCATTACCGTGGCAATGCGGCCCATCAACAGGATCCAATACTGTGGACCTTCGTCATTGATTGATTAACAACTAGTCTCTGAAATGAACATATTTTAGAAATCAGAAAACAAAGTTGACCGGAGGAGACCGGAGACTTTCTTCATTTTCAGAAACTGTGGACATCTAGACTTGCCACATATTCTAGACTTGCATGGGCTTTACTGGATATATTTGTATCAGGGTCCGTATGACAGACTACGTGACTGATACCAGGATTTAAATGACTATGGATTTACATTTCCGTCCCGAGTGATTTCTGAGTGTAAATACACGCCATGTAGTGTGGGTTAGACACTACGTATACTGAAGTAATGGTGAATTATTAGGTCGTCATCACGCGGTGATCTAAATGGGCCGAGTTGTTACCGTCTGTGACAGATCCAGCACTTCGTTTTCTTTGATAGAAGTGGTAAGTTTCGAATTCACGGCTATTAAAAAGACATGGGAGGTTGACTGGTTGACTGGTTAATTAGTTGTAGTGTAATGCCGCACTCAGCAATATTCCAGCCTTTTGGCGGCGGTCTGTAATTAATCGAGTCTGGACCACACAATCCAGTGATCAACAGCAAGGGCATTGATCTACACATTTGGGATACGTTTTTCTGAGATTTGGTTCCCCCATAGTAAAAGTTCCGGCGGAACTTTTCATTCCAACATTTGTTCCTGTAATAGTGCATGCGGAACAATTATTTCGTTCCGCACACACAGAATTTATTCCGGGTAAAGAGGAACTTCCACACACATCATAAAGTGTCTAAAGGAGGGTTTTGTTTGTTGGGGTGATCTTAAAAATAGGGGCGTGGGGGGAGAACGGAAAGGAAAAAAAGATTTTCCTACGGTATTTGTTCCATATGGAACAAATCATGTGGCTATCAAGAAGCAATTATCATGTGAGAAAGTTACTTAATTTTTTTTATGATTGTAGATTCCCCAGAATGCGAACTGATGATTCTAAATGAATCTTGTGTTAAAAGAGTTAAGTTATTATGTAACCAAGTTACCTTCATTAATCAGGTTACAGTCAGTAGCCAGGTTACAGTCAACATGTAACCAAGTTACAGTCAGTAGCCAGGTGACAGTCATTATGTGACCAAGGTACAGTTGGTCAGTAGCCAGGTTACATTCAATATGTAACCAAGTTAGAGTTAGTCAGTAGCCAGGTTACAGTCAACATGCAACCAAGTTACAGTTAGTCAGTAGCCAGGTTACAGTCGACGTGTAACCCAACAGTTAGTCAGTAGCCAGGCTACAGTCATTATGTGACCAAGTTACAGTTGGTCAGTAGCAAGGTTACATTCAATATGTAACCAAGTTAAAGTTAGTCAGTAGCCAGGTTACAGTCAATATGTAACCAAGTTACAGTTAGTCAGTAGCCAGGTTACAATCAACATGTTACCAAGTTAGTCAGTAGCCAGGTTACAGTCAACATGTAACCAATTAACAGTCAGTCATTAGCCTGGTTACAGTTGACATGTAACCAAGTTACAGTTAGTAGCCAGGTTACAGTCGACATGTAACCAAGTTACAGTTATTAGCCAGGTTACAGTCGACATGTAACCAAGTTACAGTCAGTAGCCAGGTTACAGTCGACATGTAACCAAGTTACAGTTAGTAGCCAGGTTACAGTCAACATGTAACCAAGTTAAAGTTAGTCAGTAGCCAGGTTACAGTCAACATGTAACCAAGTTACAGTTAGTCAGTAGCCAGGTTACAGTCATTATGTGACGAAGTTACAGTTGGTCAGTAGCCAGGTTACATTCAATATGTAACCAAGTTAAAGTTAGTCAGTAGCCAGGTTACAGTCAACATGTAACCAAGTTACAGTTAGTCAGTAGCCAGGTTACAATCAACATGTTACCAAGTTAGTCAGTAGCCAGGTTACGGTCAACATGTAACCAATTAACAATCAGTCAGTAGCCAGGTTACAGTCGACATGTTACCAAGTAACAGTAAGTAGCCAGGTTACAGTCGACATGTAACCAAGTTACAGTAAGTAGCCAGGTTACAGTCAATATGTAACCAAGTTACAGTTAGTCAGTAGCCAGGTTGCAGTCAACATGTAACCAATTAACAGTCAGTCAGTAGCCAGGTTACAGTCAACATGTAACAATTAACAGTCAGTAGCCGGATTACAGTCAACATGTAACCAAGTTACAGTTAATTGGTAGGCAGGTTACAGTCAACATGTAACCAAGTTACAGTCAGTCAGTAGCCAGGTTAGTGAACATGTAACCAAGTTACAGTCAGTCAGTAGCCAGGTTAGTGAACATGTAACCAAGTTACAGTTAGTCAGTAGCCAGGTTACAGTCGACATGTAACCAAGTTACAGTCAGTAGCCAGGTTACAGTCGACATGTAACCAAGTTAGAGTTAGTAGCCAGATTACAGTCAACATGTAACCAAGTTACAGTTAGTCAGTAGCCAAGTTACATTCAGCATGTAACCAAGTTAGAGTTAGTAGCCAGGTTACAGTCAACATGTAACCAACTTGAAGTTAGTAGACATCCCGGATGTTGACAAGTTGGATGAGTCCATTTTTCATTCAATAATGACTGGAATAGGTTAGGCATACGGTATTTGTTCCTGTTCGATGGAATATTTGCCGTATGTGCGGAATTTTTATTCGTGTCATCCATTCTCAATTTCACGGCATTTATTCCGAACTGGAACATTTACCACTCGGAACTAAATCATGTTTACATGAGTCGGAATGGAAGATAGGACGCCTCAGGAGTGTGGTGGTGTTCGCGCAGATAGTTTCCCGTTTATTGACTTTTTCGTAAAAAAAAATAATGTGCAAATTAGACTTTAAAACGTGTCAACTTTCTCAAAAAACAAACATAAAGTAAGCATTGTGTGATGATAGGTAACCAAGGACGGATTCTGGGGAAGGGGCTGCACATAAATGTTCAAGTCCAAAGGTAAGGGGGAAAAATGCTCCTCTGGGAATTTTTTGTCGGGGAACAAGCCGCTCAGAAGCGGTGGGGGTGGGGGGATGCGCACCTCCGCTGTGGATCCGCCCCAGGGTAACGATGCCTGAACGAGGCTTGAGCCTTTGGTTCCAAGCGCTTCCTCTATGGCGGTGTGTGGACCCTGCTTAACTCGTGGTTGGAGGGGAGGCTAAGGTTTCGTCAGATATTCAGTAGATCTAGCCGGTAGGTGAGGTGATCGATGTAAAATTATCACATTAGGTTAAAAACTCACAAAAGGTTTGATTAGTCTGTGAGAATATTTCGATGTTAAGGAATAGCACTTGGGAGCAAACGTCAGGTCAGAAAAATGTGTCAAAACGGGGGGTGCTTTTACGCGAATTTGTAACGTTGCCTCTGATTGCACAAAGAATACAAATGCACCAATGGAAAGACGGATAACAAAGCTAGAGACACTTTTTTTCATAGTTTGACAAATGTGACGTCAAATGTTGACTTTGTGAAGGTGAAAACTTCCGACGTGTAAAAAAGATATTTATGCAAAGCGCACATGTCTATAAAAAATCTCATAGGTAGACGAATTATCAAGCTTCAATCTGCACTATGAACTGTGTTCTTTAACAACGTGTTCATGTCAAGATAAAAATGAAAAGGACCCCACCGTCTATACCGGAAGTACTTTTCCCTAGCGATCAAGTGACAGACAGAGCCTGCCAGCTGAGATCGTGTTTGTCAGCAAGCGTGGAAATATACCGTCTTTCTTAGAAATAGGTAAGTGACAACATATTTCATGCTTGCAATATGATGTATCCTGAACTAATGAACAAATATACACCATTTATTACCGCCGATCAATCCAATTTTAATATATACTTGGCCTAAATAACGTGCACAGTGGGTTGACCTATTTTTTCGTGAAATTGACATGGTTATCAAAGATGAAATACTACTGACAGTGAACGACAGTAAATGTGATTGTGTGTTACTGTGAGTATATACAAGTTAGCAACATTTGGCAGTTGACCATGGCAACATTTTTTGTATTATCTCTGTTTTCAGTTGCATTCCATTTACAAAATCCCTTCACATTTTTTTAAGTTATAAAGAAATTGCCATTGTTGATGAAATAACGATAATAAATAATCAATCATTTACTGTTTAAGCTTGGGGCCATTAAATTGTCACGATCTAATTAGTGCCATACTGTTAAGAAAATATATTAATTTTTATTTTCCTTAATTTTCAGGACCACTGACCAACTGAAGAGAAGAAGCCTGACTACTTATGTTTTGCAAAGTGACAGAGATTGGTCGCTATTGTTTCTTCAGATTTTATTATTATCATGCAACTTGACCTGTATGCTGTTTTTGTGATTTATTTTAAGCAGTTATACCTGCCATATATTGACAGTTTGTGATAGAGTTGAAAATGTTTCTTCCTCATATGTTGTGCATTGATCTGCATTGATCTTTGCCAAAATGGATTCATATGACCCAGGATCATGACATAACTTGCAACTGAAACTGTATTTGTTGGAAACTATTTGCTTAAGTATTTATGATCATATTCAAAAGACACCTAGACCACGGCCTCTAATACAAATATCAGATATGTTATCAATCCATCATGCATGAGATATTGGATTTGATATAAAAAGGCTTAGCTAAGATTCTACATGCTCCTTGGGCCAGGTTTAGTTTTCAACCCTGTGATATATATTTTATGTATTATGTAGGAGTTTCTAGAACCTTATTTATTCATTTCATTGTGCTACAGACGCTGTCTGTAGAAAGGAGCAAGAGGTCCCTATTTTACTTGATTTTGACTTATTTTGACTCCAGAGACTTAAGTTAACATGAAACTTGCCTTGTATGCATGTATTGTCATTTTCTAGTCATTAATGCATGTCATACATGGCCAAATTGTAATGGTAATTAAACAGCAGAAATGGGTACCACTGTCAGCGACAGATTTTGCTGTTGAATGTGTTAGATACATCACTTTTATTGCAAAAATAGATAGACATGATGCCAATAAACAACTACAATGCATACAAGTATTATTCAGAAGTGTAGAATTATTTTTGAAAATAACCTAGCCAATATATAGCTGGAAAGAAATGCAGTAATTTTTTAGGGAGCAGGTGTGTTTGAATGCTAATAACTTTTTTATTATATTTTTCTGTGTTAAAAACAAAGTATTTTGATAGCTTATCCTTTGCTCTGGCCCCACATAACTTCCATGTTAATTGTACGGGTAACTATAGATATTCTTCAAAATACATTTGTATCTCTTGACCTTCAAATTTCAAGGTCGAGCATATTTTATAAACATTGTAACATATGCTTTTTTAACTTGATTGTCACTTTTTGGGGATAAAAAGACGTCTTATCACATAACAATGACTATGTATGCTTATTGTGATGATGTTTTACTCATGTTTAGACATTATTCATGAAAACTTAGTGAAAAGTTTAAAAAGGATTTATACGGGGCTACACTTAAGGGGTCGGACTTTCATATTGGATGTGGTAACTATATGTCCATTATCACTAAAATTGATAGACAAGATACCAATACAGAGATAGAATACTTAAACATATTTTTCTTCAGTGTAGAAATACATGTATTTTTAAAATGTTCCTAACCAAAAAAATGGGTGAAAAAAGAAATTCATTTTTCTTTTCTGAGGGTGGGTGTCTTGTAAATCTAATAACTTTTTAATAAAAATTTTTGGTATGAAAATCAAAAGGTTTTGTTGTTATTGAAACTTCACTCTAGCAACACATCAAATTTGGTTGAAAAATTCCTATTAATAAAAACTGAGTGATTATGCCTACTATTAATAGTTTTGACCTTGGCACACTACTGTATTCGGCGGGAAATCAATATCTTGCGACTCACAGTCGGCAGCGAACAAGGTATAATATCAAATGCTAAAATGTCTCAATGAAACGTGTTTGTTTGCCCTCATAGCATGGAGTGAATTAATAACATTGACAGTTTTGTCGCAGACAGACAAGTGGCACAGTGTTGGACCTGCCCGTTAGTCATTGTAGTGAATCGTCGGTCCGGGAGTCGTGGTTTCACGGAGCGGAGCGGTAACAACAGGCGCTCCCGGCCACTCTCGCACAAACACATACATTGAAAAGAAATGTTTGTTTTTCATTTGATCTTCTCAGTAAAAGAACATTACTTGTCTTTGCATTTGAGAAAAAACAAAACAGCAGCACATTTCAATAAAGGTATTCTAAGAATCTCATTAATAATTCTTGGGAAAGTTGGCTACATTGGAATTTATTCTTATGTTACAGGCAACAGTAACTCCAGAATATTCACAACATGGAGGATGTATATGGTTGTCACAGTCAGCGGGGAAGTATGGTGACAGGTTCCCTGTGTCTGAAGAGAGGGGACGTTGACAGTCTCCCTGTGTGTCTGTGCAGAGAGGATGGTGACAGTCTTCCTGTGTCTGGGGAGAGGATGGTGACAGTCTCCCTGTGTCTGAAGAGAGAGGATGGTGACAATTTCCCTGTGTTTGAAGAGAGAAGACTTTGACAGTCTCCCTGTGTGTCTGTGGAGAGAGGATGGTGACAGTCTTCCTGTGTCTGGGGAGAGGATGGTGACAGTCTCCCTGTGTCTGTGGAGAGAGGATGGTGACAGTCTCCCTGTGTCTGGAGAGAGGATGGTGACAGTCTCCCTGTGTCTGTGGAGAGAGGATGGTGACAGTCTCCCTGTGTCTGGAGAGAGGATGGTGACAGTCTCCCTGTGTCTGTGGAGAGAGGATGGTGACAGTCTCCCTGTGTTTGAAGAGAGAGGATGGTGACAGTCTCCCTGTGTCTGTGGAGAGAGGATGGTGACAGTCTCCCTGTGTCTGTGGAGAGAGGATGGTGACAGTCTCCCTGTGTCTGGAGAGAGGATGGTGACAGTCTCCCTGTGTCTGTGGAGAGAGGATGGTGACAATTTCCCTGTGTTTGAAGAGAGAGGATGGTGACAGTCTCCCTGTGTCTGTGGAGAGAGGATGGTGACAGTCTCCCTGTGTCTGTGGAGAGAGGATGGTGACAGTCTCCCTGTGTCTGGAGAGAGGATGGTGACAGTGTCCCTGTGTGTCTGTGGAGAGAGGATGGTGACAATTTCCCTGTGTTTGAAGAGAGAGGATGGTGACAGTCTCCCTGTGTCTGTGGAGAGAGGATGGTGACAGTCTCCCTGTGTCTGTGGAGAGAGGATGGTGACAGTCTCCCTGTGTCTGGAGAGAGGATGGTGACAGTGTCCCTGTGTGTCTGTGGAGAGAGGATGGTGACAATTTCCCTGTGTTTGAAGAGAGAGGATGGTGACAGTCTCCCTGTGTCTGGAGAGAGGATGGTGACAGTCTCCCTGTGTGTCTGTGCAGAGAGGATGGTGACAATTTCCCTGTGTTTGAAGAGAGAGGATGGTGACAGTCTCCCTGTGTCTGTGGAGAGAGGATGGTGACAATTTCCCTGTGTCTGGAGAGAGGATGGTGACAGTCTCCCTGTGTCTGGAGAGAGGATGGTGACAGTCTCCCTGTGTCTGTGGAGAGAGGATGGTGACAATTTCCCTGTGTTTGAAGAGAGAGGATGGTGACAGTCTCCCTGTGTGTCTGTGCAGAGAGGATGGTGACAATTTCCCTGTGTCTGTGGAGAGAGGATGGTGACAATCTCCCTGTGTCTGTGGAGAGAGGATGGTGACAGTCTCCCTGTGTTTGAAGAGAGAGGATGGTGACAGTCTCCCTGTGTGTCTGTGCAGAGAGGATGGTGACAATTTCCCTGTGTTTGAAGAGAGAGGATGGTGACAGTCTCCCTGTGTCTGTGGAGAGAGGATGGTGACAGTCTCCCTGTGTCTGGAGAGAGGATGGTGACAGTCTCCCTGTGTGTCTGTGCAGAGAGGATGGTGACAATTTCCCTGTGTCTGTGGAGAGAGGATGGTGACAATTTCCCTGTGTCTGTGGAGAGAGGATGGTGACAGTCTCCCTGTGTCTGGAGAGAGGATGGTGACAGTCTCCCTGTGTCTGGAGAGAGGATGGTGACAGTCTCCCTGTGTGTCTGTGGAGAGAGGATGGTGACAATTTCCCTGTGTCTGTGGAGAGAGGATGGTGACAGTCTCCCTGTGTTTGAAGAGAGAGGATGGTGACAATCTCCCTGTGTTTGAAGAGAGAGGATGGTGACAGTCTCCCTGTGTGTCTGTGCAGAGAGGATGGTGACAATTTCCCTGTGTCTGTGGAGAGAGGATGGTGACAATTTCCCTGTGTCTGTGGAGAGAGGATGGTGACAGTCTCCCTGTGTTTGAAGAGAGAGGATGGTGACAGTCTCCCTGTGTGTCTGTGGAGAGAGGATGGTGACAGTCTCCCTGTGTGTCTGTGGAGAGAGGATGGTGACAGTCTCCCTGTGTCTGGAGAGAGGATGGTGACAGTCTCCCTGTGTCTGGAGAGAGGATGGTGACAGTCTCCCTGTGTGTCTGTGGAGAGAGGATGGTGACAATTTCCCTGTGTCTGTGGAGAGAGGATGGTGACAGTCTCCCTGTGTTTGAAGAGAGAGGATGGTGACAGTCTCCCTGTGTTTGAAGAGAGAGGATGGTGACAGTCTCCCTGTGTTTGAAGAGAGAGGATGGTGACAGTCTCCCTGTGTTTGAAGAGAGAGGATGGTGACAGTCTCCCTGTGTTTGAAGAGAGGATGGTGACAGTCTCCCCTGTGTTTGAAGAGAGAGGATGGTGACAGTCTCCCTGTGTTTGAAGAGAGAGGATGGTGACAGTCTCCCTGTGTTTGAAGAGAGAGGATGGTGACAGTCTCCCTGTGTCTGGGGAGAGGATGGTGACAGTGTCCCTGTGTGTCTGTGGAGAGAGGATGGTGACAGTCTCCCTGTGTCTGGGGAGAGGATGGTGACAGTGTCCCTGTGTGTCTGTGGAGAGAGGATGGTGACAGTCTCCCTGTGTCTGGGGAGAGGATGGTGACAGTGTCCCTGTGTGTCTGTGGAGAGAGGATGGTGACAGTGTCCCTGTGTGTCTGTGGAGAGAGGATGGTGACAGTCTCCCTGTGTTTGAAGAGAGAGGATGGTGACAGTGTCCCTGTGTGTCTGTTAAGAGAGGATGGTGACAGTCTCCCTGTGTCTGGGGAGAGGATGGTGACAGTGTCCCTGTGTGTCTGTGGAGAGAGGATGGTGACAGTCTCCCTGTGTCTGGGGAGAGGATGGTGACAGTGTCCCTGTGTGTCTGTGGAGAGAGGATGGTGACAGTGTCCCTGTGTGTCTGTTAAGAGAGGATGGTGACAGTCTCCCTGTGTCTGGGGAGAGGATGGTGACAGTGTCCCTGTGTGTCTGTTAAGAGAGGATGGTGACAGTCTCCCTGTGTCTGGGGAGAGGATGGTGACAGTGTCCCTGTGTGTCTGTGGAGAGAGGATGGTGACAGTGTCCCTGTGTGTCTGTGGAGAGAGGATGGTGACAGTCTCCCTGTGTCTGGGGAGAGGATGGTGACAGTCTCCCTGTGTCTGGGGAGAGGATGGTGACAGTGTCCTTGTGTGTCTGTTAAGAGAGGATGGTGACAGTCTCCCTGTGTCTGGGGAGAGGATGGTGACAGTGTCCCTGTGTGTCTGTTAAGAGAGGATGGTGACAGTCTCCCTGTGTCTGGGGAGAGGATGGTGACAGTGTCCCTGTGTGTCTGTGGAGAGAGGATGGTGACAATCTCCCTGTGTCTGGGGAGAGGATGGTGACAGTGTCCCTGTGTGTCTGTGGAGAGAGGATGGTGACAATTTCCCTGTGTTTGAAGAGAGAGGATGGTGACAATCTCCCTGTGTCTGGGGAGAGGATGGTGACAGTGTCCTTGTGTGTGTGTGGAGAGAGGATGGTGACAATCTCCCTGTGTCTGGGGAGAGGATGGTGACAGTGTCCCTGTGTGTCTGTTAAGAGAGGATGGTGACAGTCTCCCTGTGTCTGGGGAGAGGATGGTGACAGTGTCCCTGTGTGTCTGTGGAGAGAGGATGGTGACAATTTCCCTGTGTTTGAAGAGAGAGGATGGTGACAATCTCCCTGTGTCTGGGGAGAGGATGGTGACAGTGTCCTTGTGTGTCTGTGGAGAGAGGATGGTGACAGTGTCCCTGTGTGTCTGTGGAGAGAGGATGGTGACAGTGTCCCTGTGTGTCTGTGGAGAGAGGATGGTGACAGTCTCCCTGTGTCTGGGGAGAGGATGGTGACAGTCTCCCTGTGTCTGGGGAGAGGATGGTGACAGTGTCCTTGTGTGTCTGTTAAGAGAGGATGGTGACAGTCTCCCTGTGTCTGGGGAGAGGATGGTGAAAGTGTCCCTGTGTGTCTGTGGTGAGAGGATGTTGACAGTCTCCCTGTGTCTGGGGAGAGGATGGTGACAGTCTCCCTATGTCTGGGGAGAGGATGGTGACAGTGTCCCTGTGTGTCTGTTAAGAGAAGATGGTGACAGTGTCCCTGTGTTTCTGTGGAGAGAGGATGGTGACAGTGTCCCTGTGTGTCTGTGGAGAGAGGATGGTGACAGTGTCCCTGTGTGTCTGTGGAGAGAGGATGGTGACAGTCTGCCTGTGTCTGGGGAGAGGATTGTGATAGTCTCCCTGTGTCTGGGGAGAGGATGGTGACAGTGTCCCTGTGTGTCTGTGGAGAGAGGATGGTGACAGTCTCATTGTGTCTCGGGAGAGGATGGTGAAAGTGTCCCTGTGTGTCTGTGGAGAGAGAATGGTGACAGTGTACCTGTGTCTGAAGAGAGAGGATGGTGACAGTCCCCCTGTGTCCATGGAGAGAGGATGTTGACAGTCCCCCTGTGTCCATGGAGAGAGGATGTGACAGTGTCCCTGTGTCCATGGAGAGAGGATGTGACAGTGTCCCTGTGTCTGAAGGGAGAGGACAGTGACAGTCTCCCTGTGTCCAGAGGGAGAGGATGGTGACAGTCTCCCTGTGTCTGGGGAGAGGACAGTGACAGTCTCCCTGTGTCTGGAGGTAGAGGATGGTGATAGTCTCCCTGTTTCTTGAGACTGAGGATGGTGACAGTCTTCCTGTGTCTTGAGGTAGAGGATGGTGACAATCTCCTTGTGTCTGCAGGTAGAGGATGGTGACAGTGTCCCTGTGTCTGGAGGTAGAGGATGGTGACAGTGTCCCTGTGTCTGGAGGTAGAGGATGGTGACAGTGTCCCTGTGTCCAGAGGTAGAGTATGGTGACAGTGTCCCTGTCTCTGGAGGTAGAGTATGGTGACAGTCTCCCTGTGTCTGGAAGTATAGGATGGTGACAATCTCCTTGTGTCTTGAGGTAGAGGATGGTGACAGTCCTCCTGTGTCTTGAGGTAGAGGATAGTGACAATCTCCTTGTGTCTGGAGGTAGAGAATGGTGATAGTCTCCCTGTGTCTGGAGGTAGAGGATGGTGACAGTCTCCCTGTATCTGGAGGTAGAGTATGGTGATAGTCTTCCTGTGTCATGAGGTAGAGGATGGTGACAATCTCCTTGTGTCTGGAGGTAGAGAATGGTGATAGTCTCCCTGTGTCTGGAGGTAGAGGAAGTTGACAATCTCCTTGTGTCTGGAGGTAGAGAATGGTGACAGTCGTCCTGTGCCTTGAGGTAGAGGATGGTGACAATCTCCTTGTGTCTGGAGGTAGAGTATGGTGATAGTCTCCCTGTGTCTGGAGGTAGAGAATGGCGATAGTCTCCCTGTGTCTGGAGGTAGAGGATGGTGACAGTCTCCCTGTGTCTGGAGGTAGAGTTTGGTGACAGTATCCCTATGTCTGAAGCTAGAGGATGGTGACAATCTCCCTGTGTCTGAAGGTAGAGGATGGTGACAGTCTCCATGTGTCTGAAGGTAGAGGATGTTGACAGTTTCCCTGTGTCTGGAGGTAGAGGATGGTGATAGTCTCCCTGTTTCTGGAGACTGAGGATGGTGACAGTCTTCCTGTGTCTTGAGGTAGAGGATGGTGACAATCTCCTTGTGTCTGAAGGTAGAGAATGGTGACAGTCCTCCTGTGTCTTAAGGTAGAGGATGGTGACAATCTCCTTGTGTCTGGAGGTAGAGAATGGTGATAGTCTCCCTGTGTCTGGAGGTAGAGGATGGTGACAGTCTCCCTGTGTCTGGAGGTAGAGTATGGTGATAGTCTTCCTGTGTCATGAGGTAGAGGATGGTGACAATCTCCTTGTGTCTGCAGGTAGAGGATGGTGACAGTCTCCCTGTGTCTGGAGGTAGAGGATGGTGACAGTGTCCCTGTGTTTTGAGGTAGAGGATGGTGACAATCTCCTTGTATCTGGAGGTAGAGAATGGTGATAGTCTCCCTGTGTCTGGAGGTAGAGGATGGTGACAGTCTCCCTGTGTCTGGAGGTAGAGTATGGTGATAGTCTTCCTGTGTCATGAGGTAGAGGATGGTGACAATCTCCTTGTGTCTGGAGTTAGAGAATGGTGATAGTCTCCCTGTGTCTGGAGGTAGAGGAAGTTGACAATCTCCCTGTGTCTTGAGGTAGAGGATGGTGACAATCTCCTTGTGTCTCGAGGTAGAGTATGGTGATAGTCTCCCTGTGTCTGGAGGTAGAGAATGGTGATAGTCTCCCTGTGTCTGGAGGTAGAGGATGGTGAGAGTCTCCCTGTGTCTGGAGGTAGAGTATGGTGACAGTATCCCTATGTCTGAAGGTAGAGGATGGTGACAGTCTCCCTGTGTCTGAAGGTAGAGTATGGTGACAGTCTCCATGTGTCTGGAGGTAGAGGATGGTGACAGTCTCCCTGTGTCTGGAGGTAGAGGATTGTGACAGTGTCCCTGTGTCTGAAGGTAGAGGATGGTGACAGTCTCCCTGTGTCTGGAGGCAGAGGATGTTGACAGTCTCCCTGTGTCTTGAGGTAGAGGATGGTGACAGTCTCCCTGTGTCTGGAGGTAGAGGATGGTGACAGTCTCCCTGTGTCTGGAGGTAGAGGATGGTGACAGTGTCCCTGTGTTTTGAGGTAGAGGATGGTGACAATCTCCTTGTGTCTGGAGGTAGAGAATGGTGATAGTCTCCCTGTGTCTGGAGGTAGAGGATGGTGACAGTCTCCCTGTGTCTGGAGGTAGAGTATGGTGATAGTCTTCCTGTGTCATGAGGTAGAGGATGGTGACAATCTCCTTGTGTCTGGAGGTAGAGAATGGTGATAGTCTCCCTGTGTCTGGAGGTAGAGGAAGTTGACAATCTCCCTGTGTCTTGAGGTAGAGGATGGTGACAATCTCCTTGTGTCTCGAGGTAGAGTATGGTGATAGTCTCCCTGTGTCTGGAGGTAGAGAATGGTGATAGTCTCCCTGTGTCTGGAGGTAGAGGATGGTGAGAGTCTCCCTGTGTCTGGAGGTAGAGTATGGTGACAGTATCCCTATGTCTGAAGGTAGAGGATGGTGACAGTCTCCCTGTGTCTGAAGGTAGAGTATGGTGACAGTCTCCATGTGTCTGAAGGTAGAGGATGGTGACAGTCTCCCTGTGTCTGGAGGCAGAGGATGTTGACAGTCTCCCTGTGTCTTGAGGTAGAGGATGGTGACAGTCTCCCTGTGTCTGGAGGTAGAGGATGGTGACAGTCTCCCTGTGTCTGGAGGTAGAGGATGGTGACAGTCTCCCTGTGTCTGGAGGTAGAGGATATTGACAGTCTCCCTGTGTCTGGGGAGAGGACGGTGACAGTCTCCCTGTGTCTGGAGGTAGAGGATGGTGACAGTCTCCTTGTCTGGGGAGAGAGGTGTGGGAAGATCACTGACAGGTAGGGCTGAGTGAATATTTATCAGCTTTAATAAGCAGTTTGAACACTGTAGCTAATTGAGTTGAAATGTTTGTCATTTACTCAATAGTTGTGACAGGGAAAAGAGTCTGGCTTCTGTATTTTTGGACAGGATATGACCATGTGTAGCAGGTTCAAATCAATCTCAATAAATTCTTTCTGGTGTGGCTTCATCTGAGGCCCTGGGTCTTGATTTAGCGCTAAGATAGTCGTAAGTTAATGTTAATGTATGGCACTTACGACTATCCTAGCGCTAAGAGAGCTTCGAAAATCTAGGCCCTGGTCACATCATGTGATGTGGGCCTGACCTGTTTCCAAGATTAAGTCACCTGGTCCAGGTCCCACTCTGGAATGATCTATGACGGGACTGAATCCCAAGGCCTGCATTAATTGTACACCTGGCTTCTCAAAAGGAAATGACTTATTGACATCTTTCATCACAAATACAGTTGATAAATATATTTTGCAAGTATGATGAATAACAAAGGGCACATCGTTACATGATGTTCAGATTTCTCAGGTATTTTGAGTTAAAGAAATAGATTTAAAAATGTCTAAAATTCCAACAGACCTTTGTACTGTACCATCCAAAATGAGAAGCAGAATGTGCAAGACGTGGAAGCTTTTGGTGCTTTTGTATTTATACACTACAGCGACTTGTGGTGTTGTATTTATACACTACAGCGACTTGTGGTGTTGTATTTATACACTACAGCGACTTGTGGTGTTGTATTCATACACTACAGCGACTTGTGGTGTTGTATTTATACACTACAGCGACTTGTGGTGTTGTATTTATACACTACAGCGACTTGTGGTGTTGTATTTATACACTACATCGACTTGTGGTGTTGTATTCATACACTACATCGACTTGTGGTGTTGTAATGAATTGGTAATGAATTCTCATTTAAATATGTTCAGTGAGTTGTCAATTTACATTTAGCATGGATGTTGAAGTCTTTGCTAGTTTCACGTAGCCAAACCTACATTAAATCTTCACTGCAAATAAGGTGACCATACTCATGATTTGATATGTGCAGTGTCTACCAATTGTCTGCACTTCCATGTAACCCTGCTGCCAAAAGAATACACTGACAACAAAAGTTGATAGAATGAGCCTGTGGGAACCTGTTTTATACATGTTACTTGCTTTCCCTGTAAGCTGGTTAGTCAGAACTGAAGAACTGAACTTGGTGCAAGCCTCACTGTAGGACCAACATGCTGCTAATCATTCAGTTTTGAAATGTTTCAGTTTATTTGACCACATTACTATAGTAGTTTATAATACAGGGTTCGAATAAGGGAACCGCTTTTAGCATTTGTTTTTGTCAATCAAAAAACTCCAAAACCTTTGGCAGCTCCTTTGATTGTATCATGATCACGGGATTATGTGACCCCTCTTTGAACATGGCTGACATATTGTCAGTGTCATCTTGTGCCCATTTCTACAGAGCTCGGGCTCAGACTAGTGACTAAGTCGCAGATTGTCATATGATTTTTGCCAGATTACATGTTTAAGGTTTTTTACTTTCTAAAACCAAGTGTTTCTGGGGCTACTGCCTTTTCTACTGAGATTACAACAAAGGCCATTGAGCTGTAACTTTACTGGAAGGATCCCAACGGGGGTATTTCTACAAACTGCACAGAATTTAGTATTTAAGAAAGAGGAGGATATTGTAGTGTTTCGTTTAACTCAGCATTAAACAGGTGTTGTTCCCATGTCCTGTACCTCACAAACTCATTTCCAGTGTAACTCACCATGACATAGTTGTTCCCATGTCCTGTACCTCACAGTCTCATTTCCAGTGTAACTCACCATGACATAGTTGTTCCCATGTCCTGTACCTCACAGTCTCATTTCCAGTGTAACTCACCATGACATAGTTGTTCCCATGTCCTGTACCTCACAGTCTCATTTCCAGCGTAACTCACCATGACATAGTTGTTCCCATGTCCTGTACCTCACAATCTCATTTCCAGTGTAACTCACCATGACATAGTTGTTCCTATGTCCTGTACCTCACAGTCTCATTTCCAGTGTAACTCACCATGACATAGTTGTTCCCATGTCCTGTACCTCACAATCTCATTTCCAGTGTAACTCACCATGACATAGTTGTTCCTATGTCCTGTACCTCACAATCTCATTTCCAGTGTAACTCCAGTGTAACTCACCATGACATAGTTGTTGCCATGTCCTGTACCTCACAATCTCATTTCCAGTGTAACTCCAGTGTAACTCACCATGACATAGTTGTTCCCATGTCCTGTACCTCACAGTCTCATTTCCAGTGTAACTCACCATGACATAGTTGTTGCCATGTCCTGTACCTCACAGTCTCATTTCCAGTGTAACTCACCATGACATAGTTGTTCCCATGTCCTGTACCTCACAGTCTCATTTCCAGTGTAACTCACCATGACATAGTTGTTCCCATGTCCTGTACCTCACAGTCTCATTTCCAGTGTAACTCACCATGACATAGTTGTTCCCATGTCCTGTACCTCACAGTCTCATTTCCAGTGTAACTCACCATGACATAGTTGTTCCCATGTCCTGTACCTCACAATCTCATTTCCAGTGTAACTCACCATGACATAGTTGTTCCTATGTCCTGTACCTCACAATCTCATTTCCAGTGTAACTCCAGTGTAACTCACCATGACATAGTTGTTGCCATGTCCTGTACCTCACAATCTCATTTCCAGTGTAACTCCAGTGTAACTCACCATGACATAGTTGTTCCCATGTCCTGTACCTCACAGTCTCATTTCCAGTGTAACTCACCATGACATAGTTGTTCCTATGTCCTGTACCTCACAATCTCATTTCCAGTGTAACTCACCATGACATAGTTGTTCCTATGTCCTGTACCTCACAGTCTCATTTCCAGTGTAACTCACCATGACACCATGACATAGTTGTTCCCATGTCCTGTACCTCACAGTCTCATTTCCAGTGTAACTCACCATGACATAGTTGTTCCCATGTCCTGTACCTCACAGTCTCATTTCCAGTGTAACTCACCATGACATAGTTGTTCCCATGTCCTGTACCTCACAATCTCATTTCCAGTGTAACTCACCATGACATAGTTGTTCCTATGTCCTGTACCTCACAATCTCATTTCCAGTGTAACTCCAGTGTAACTCACCATGACATAGTTGTTGCCATGTCCTGTACCTCACAATCTCATTTCCAGTGTAACTCCAGTGTAACTCACCATGACATAGTTGTTCCCATGTCCTGTACCTCACAGTCTCATTTCCAGTGTAACTCACCATGACATAGTTGTTGCCATGTCCTGTACCTCACAGTCTCATTTCCAGTGTAACTCACCATGACATAGTTGTTCCCATGTCCTGTACCTCACAGTCTCATTTCCAGTGTAACTCACAATGACATAGTTGTTCCCATGTCCTGTACCTCACAGTCTCATTTCCAGTGTAACTCACCATGACATAGTTGTTCCCATGTCCTGTACCTCACAGTCTCATTTCCAGTGTAACTCACCATGACATAGTTGTTGCCATGTCCTGTACCTCACAGTCCCATTTCCAGTGTAACTCACCATGACATAGTTGTTCCCATGTCCTGTACCTCACAGTCTCATTTCCAGTGTAACTCACCATGACATAGTTGTTCCTATGTCCTGTACCTCACAATCTCATTTCCAGTGTAACTCACCATGACATAGTTGTTCCTATGTCCTGTACCTCACAGTCTCATTTCCAGTGTAACTCACCATGACACCATGACATAGTTGTTCCCATGTCCTGTACCTCACAGTCTCATTTCCAGTGTAACTCACCATGACATAGTTGTTCCCATGTCCTGTACCTCACAGTCTCATTTCCAGTGTAACTCACCATGACATAGTTGTTCCCTTGTCCTGTACCTCACAGTCTCATTTCCAGTGTAACTCACCATGACATAGTTGTTCCCATGTCCTGTACCTCAGTCTCATTTCCAGTGTAACTCACCATGACATAGTTGTTCCCATGTCCTGTACCTCACAGTCTCATTTCCAGTGTAACTCACCATGACATAGTTGTTCCCTTGTCCTGTACCTCACAATCTCATTTCCAGTGTGACTCACCATGACATAGTTGTTCCCTTGTCCTGTACCTCACAGTCTCATTTCCAGTGTAACTCACCTTGACATAGTTGTTCCCACTCACTCACTCTATGAAAGACTGGTTTGTCAAAGCCGGTATTACTGCACTTGGATGGAGAGACAGAGCTACCTGCTGACAACAGGGTATGATAGATAAAATATAAATCTTCCTGAATATAGAATCCTTAAGAAGTGTACAACTCCCTCACTTACTCACAATATCAACCCGTGGTTTGTCAAAGCTAGAGAATCGTTATATTGTTACTCCTTGGTGTAGATGAGAGGTCGCTTACTGACAACATGGCATCTCATACAAGACATCAATCTTACTGAAGACAGACCCCTTATTTAGCGGACAGCTCACTCACTCACTCAACCACTCACACTATCAGCACTGGTTTGTCGAAGCTAGATTTAATTACAGAGGATCGTGATACTGTTACCCATTGGTGTAGATAAAAGGTCACTAACTGACAACATGCCATCTCATATAAGACTTAAATCTTACTGAAGACAGACCCTTTATTTAGCGGACAGCTCACTCACTCACTCACTCACTCACTCACTCACTTTATCAACCACTCACTCACTGATTCATTCACTCACTCACACACTCACTTATTCATTCACTCTATCAAAGACTGGTTTGTCAAAGCCTATATCATTGCCATTTACTGCAGATACAAAGTTGTGTACTAACTACAGGGTATTGTGTAACAGGCATCTGTAATAGATAGCCTTCCTGAGGAAAGATATCCCACCAAGTGGACAGCTCCCTCAAGCCGTCACTCACTCACTCACTAACTCATTCTATCAAAGACTGGTTTGTCAAAGCCGGTATATTACCGTACTTGGATGGAG